GAGGAGCCTCCCCTTTTCCAAATGTTGCCTTGCTGGTGTTTGAAAGTGTTTGCCTGATAGAATAAACAGGAGCATAAAATGGTTTTTCCAGCAGAATGCTAAGTTCTCCAAAGTTGGGGTCTTCTGTGCTAGCTCGGGGTTCCTGCCAGGGTTCTCTTCATCCAGAGCAGTCAGTAAATGCTTCCCCAGTCTCCCGTCGTGCTTTCTGGAAGCACGGCATCGGCTGAACGTCTGTCAGGTACCGGGGGTGGCCTTAGGTGCCTTCGCATATGAGATCTCATTGAATTTTCACTTCAAAATGAAACTGAGTTATTCATAAGAACTCCTCATTCTCATCCCCATTTTGTGAGAAATTCAAAACAGTGGCAGGAGGAGCCTTGCACAGTTTCACACAGGTGGAATGTTTTCTGAGCCTGGATCCACAGCTCTTGCACAGTTTCACACAGGTGGAATGTTTTCTGAGCCTGGATCCACGGGTCTTGCACAGTTTCACACAGGTGGAATGTTTTCTGAGCCTGGATCCACGGGTCTTGCAGAGTTTCACACAGGTGGAAAGTTTTCTGAGCCTGGATCCGTGGGTCTTGCAGTTTCACACAGGTGGAATGGTTTCTGTGCCTGGATCCACAGGTAAGCTGAGGAATAGTGCAGAGAAAACTGGTCTGCCGGCGGAGAAACAGGCCAGGTGGAAAGTGGGGCAGTGAGCTCCTTGGGGGCGGGAGGGGAGGGGACAGGGAAGACTGCCCAGCGCCAGGCCTCTCCTGAGGGTGGCACTGATCCTACCCCCAACCTTTCACCTTTCACACTTGAGGGCTGCCTGGCCCTGTGACAGAAAAGAGGCAAGTGTGCAGTGTTCTCACAGGAAACACCATCGCCCCCTGGTTCCTTCTAGGTTCGGAAATCGGCTTCCCGCCCCACGGATGGCAATTTCTTATTTTGAAAGCCAGAATTCTAGATCCTCAAAGTTGCTTGTCTTGAATCCTTTGGACCAGGGGTCAACCCGCTGTTTCTGAATAGCAGCAGATAGTAAATATTTTTGGTTGCACAGGCCTTTCGGTCTCTGTCACAGCTTCTCAACTTGGCCATTGTAGCACAAGAGCAACTGCAGACAGTCAGTGAAGGACCTGGTAATCTTCCAATAAAACTTTAAGAAACAGGCGGTAGGTCTGATTTGGCCCACGCACTGCCAACCCTTGCCTGAGTTTCGATCAGTGCTTGTGAAAAATCCCTGCCAAGTGCAGACTGACTATAACTATTAATTTTGATGTGCATGTGTGGAAAATATTAATCTCCAAATCATTTTAAGAGTAAGTGTTGCCAGAATTGGCAACACTTGCTCAGGCTCAAACTTCAAATTTCTGCCTTATGCCTATAAGCACAGGCATGTATGAATTTCAGCCCTCCCATGCTTTAGTGGTGTGACCTCAGGATAACCAAGGCAGTGCAAGGTAGTGGTTAAGAGCAAGGAACCAAGAGTTGGAAGGTTCTGAGTCAGATCTGCCACCTGCTAGGTGGATTACCTTGAGCAACTTATTAATACTTAACAGCTCTGCACCCTAGAGTCCTCGTTTATAAACTTTAGACAATAAATGTTCCTACTTTAGCAGTGTTTTGCAAGGATAAGACAGGATGTGTAGAGTACTCAGCACCGTGTCTAGAAACTGTTAAGTTTTCCGTAACTATTTGCCATTTGTCATTCGATGAAGTTGGGAAAGCACTTAGCAGAGTTCCTAGTGCACGGTAAACTTTCAGTGAATATTTTGTCTTCCCTTTTTGTCAGGGAGGGGAACAGGGATCAAGGAGTTTCTGGGCAGGCTGGAGTGCAGTGGTGCAATCTCAGCTCACTGCAGCCTGAACCTCCCAGGCTCAAGCGATCCTCCTACCTCAGCCTTCTGAGTAGCTGGAACCACAGGCATGCACCACCACACCTGGCTAATTTTTGTGCTTTTTAAAGAGATGGACTTTCACCGTGTTTGAGGCCAGCTGGGCAACTCTTGAGCTCCATTAATCCTTCTGCCTCGGCCTCCCAAAGTGTTGGGATTATAGGCACAAACCACCGCACCCTGCCTGAAATGAATCTTGTGGCTGGTAGGGGATAGAGCAGGAGATTCTCCAGGATGGTATTCTTACACATCCACACTGAGCTCCTGGTGTGAAAAAGGAGAACTTACCTACAGAATGTCATATATCAGATTTTACTGGCACGTTGCCATGTATCTCTAAAAACCATGTTGCAGAGGGTGTGGGGTAGGTGGGACAGAGCTGGCCTGGAGGTACTGCCAGGATGTATGGTCTGGAGACAGGGTTCCAGTGCAGGCTGCATCCATCACAGGCACCGGGAGCTGAAAGGGTGGGGGACACTCCCTGGGTGTTTCCTCCACCATCTCTTCCTTATTGGATCATCCTCATCAGCACAGAACCATGCTGGTATTTCTTCCATCTTTAATTTTTTTTTTCCTTTTCTGACCTCACTTCTTCCTCCAGCAAAACCCCTCCAAAACATTGCTTGTACTTCCTGCTTTTTTTTTTTTTTTTTTTGAGACAGAGTCTTGCTCTGCAGCCCAGGCTGGAATGCAGTGGCGCAATCTTGGCTCACTGCAACCTCCACCTCCCAGGTTCAAGGGATTCTCCTGCCTCAGCCTCCTGAGTAGCTGGGACTACAGGCGTGCACCACCACGCCCAGTTAATTTTTGTATTTTTAGTAGAAACAGGGTTTCACCATGTTGGCCAGGCTGGTCTCGAACTCCTGACCTCAAATGATCCGCCCACCTTGGCCTCCAAAGTGCTGGGATTACAGGCGTGAGCCACCGCGCCCAGCCTTTCTGCCTTCTTTTAAAACTTCTCCATTCAGGCTTTTTGTCCTCAGCCATTTCACCATAACCACTCTAGTCGAGGCCACCAGTGGTCTTCATGTTGCTAAATCAGATCGATTCTCCTGTCCCTGACCTGTCAGCAGCACTGGCCTGGTGCATCGCTTCTGTGCTTTGAGGCTTTCCTCGCTTGGTGTCCTGGACACCTGCTCCTGGTGCCCCTCTTCCCTCAGTGGCTGCTTCCTTCTCAGTCTCCTTTGAGGGTTCCCCGGCTCTCCACATTTTCTTCAAGCTGGGGTGCCCAGGAGTTGGCCTTTGACATATTTCTCCGACCTGTGTTCACTCTTCTGATAATCTTACCCACTGTCAGGTTTCAGATACCATCTATTTACAGATTTGTATCTCCGACTGATTTGGTGTTGGAGACCCCACATCTTGAACCGGATGCATGGAACTCATCACCTACTCGGCACCTCCCCTTGCGGGTGTCTCTGGGCATCACAAACGTGACACGTCCACCCCCAGCACCTTGCTCTCACCCCACCCCTGCTCCCACCTGTCCGTTTCAGGTGCCGACAGCTCCATCCCGCCAGTTGCTCAGGCCACAACCCCCCGTTATCCCAGCTCTTCTTTCCCTCACACCACAGGTCCAGTCCATGAACAAAGCCCGCGGGCTCTCCCTTCAGACTGGATCCAAAATCTGACCCTTCTCACCGCCTCTGTTGCCACCACACTGGTTCAGGTCACCAGTCTTTCTCCCGAGGGTTGTTTCTGACACTTGCTAACAGAAGTGTCATCACCTTGCCCTGTGGTCTCCTCTCAACGCAACAGCAAGTGATCCTCCTAAAATCTAAGCCATCAGGTCACTCCTCTGCCTGAAATCCCCCATGTGTCCCCACCTCACTCAAAGTAGAAGCCCAAATCCTTACTCTAGCTCTAAGACCCTGCACCTTTTGGCCTCCAGCTCCCTCTCCAGCCTCCTCTCTACCCTCCCTTCGCATTCCCCTGCCTCTCTCTGCTCCCGGCACCGCAGGCACCGCACCCCACCTGCAGCCCCTGATCGTCCCAAGCAGGTGTTTGCCCTCGCTGCTCCCTCCGTCTGGAAAGCTCTTCTCCCAGATACCCTCACCACTTCCATGTCTTTGCTGAAAGATCAGCCTCTCAGAGAGGCGTGCCCCGATGATCCTATTTGAAATTGCGTTCCTGCCCCATCCTACACTCCGTATAACTCCTTCCCAAACTCATTTTTCTCCCCAACACTCATTACTTTATAATACACTGTAACACTGATTTACTGTGTTTCTTTTCCGTGTTCCCCTGCCTCCACCTTGAGAATGAAAACTTCGTGAAGGCAGGATTTGTTTTGTTTACTGCTTTGCCCCAGTGCCTAGAACAATGCCTTTTTGGGTTTGGATGGACGGATGGGTGGATGGACAGATGGGCTGGAGGCTCCCTAAGCTTTCCAGCCATTGCTAACACCATGGAGTGGTCTTCCGTGGAAACACCCACTCTCCCACTGTTGCCTTGTTCCGTGATGAGGAGTCTGCGTGCACTCAAATGAAGACCCGCTGACTATGAGTTTGTCCTCTTTTGTTGTTGTTGTTTTGAGACAGAGTCTCGCTCTGTCACCCACGCTGGAGTGCAGTGGCGCGATCTCAGCTCACTGCAAGCTCCGCCTCCCAGGTTCATGCTATTCTCCTGCCTCAGCCTCCCGAGCAGCTGGGACTACACGTACCTGCCACCACGCCCGGCTAATTTTTAGTATTTTTAGTAGAGACAGGGTTCTACCGTGTTAGCCAGGATGGTCTCAATCTCTTGACCTCGTGATCAGCCCGCCTCAGCCTCCCAAAGTGCTGGGATTACAGGCTTGAGCTACCGCACCCGGCCTCTTCTTTTTTGAGAGGAAGTCTCCCTATGTTGCCAGGCTGGAGTTCAGTGGCACAATCTCAGCTCACTGCAACCTCTACCTCCTGGGTTCAAGCGATTCTCTTGCCTCAGCCTCCCAAGTAGCTGGGCCTACAGGTGCGTGCCACCCCACCCAGATAATTTTTTGTATTTTTAAAAGAGATGGGGTTTCACCGTGTTGGCCAGGCTGGTCTCGGACTCCTGATCTCGTGATCTGCCCACCTCGGCCTCCCAAAGTGCTGAGATTACAGACGTGAGCCACTGCGCCTGGTCGAGTTTGTCCTGTGTTTAAACATTTTATTTTAGATTTGCTGTAAATATTTATTATCTATATTCCTTCTATTTTATAAAACAGTAATGTACATAACTGAAAACTTGAAAAACACAGAAAGGCAGGAAGAAGAGGGGAACACATCACCAAATTTACCCCTGAACAGCCACACTGTGACCTTGCTGTACTCCTTTGAAGGGTTTTGTTTTCCTATGCACAAGTTTGCGAGATGTGCTTTCCTTAGGTAAAAGGTAAGAAAGTCCCTGCTCTTTTCCACCTAATAATACAAGCAGCACTTTCCCCGTGAACCCAGTCATTGAGGGAGCATCATTTCTGACAGCTACCTAGTGTTTTATCAAGTGGATGAATATTTTGTATGTAACCAGTTCCCTAGCATTGGAACATTTTAATGGCTTCACATTTTTCATGATTATAAATTATGCTACAGTAAAGGGATGATTTTCTCCCAATAACAGCTTTTCTCAAATCATTAACTTGTCATTGCAAGACCCTGGGAATGGAGAATGGATCTTAGCTTGAGCAACAGTCTCCACGCAAAGGTGCTGACTGCAGAGTCATGACAGATGACAGGAGGGAAGAGGGGGAGGAGGGGCAGGTGATAGTTTAAAAATTTTTTCATTTTCATTATGAAGGTACTATGTAGTTACATACAATTTGGAAAATACATGAATTTGGAATGTGTTCCAGCTCCAGTTTTAATTAACATGAACATGTAGGTCTTCTCGGCCTCCAATTCCATCTGTACCCACAAAAAACCTGGTCTCTTGCAAATGTGTCTTCCACCCCAGCTATTTCTGGAGTCCCCAAGGGTGACCACAAACCATTGCAGGTTTGTCTTCTATTATCATTGCTGCTGGTTTTATCATTGCCACTAGAAGCTTCCCCACCCCCTTATTCTTCATCAAAGACTTGCATTTTGCCTCTGTTAAATGAAGGTTCAATGGTGACAGGGTGACCCACTAGGGTAAAAAAAAAAAAAGAAAGGAAATAGTTTACTCACTTCTGCAGCCTCTTAGGGATCCCACAGTGGGTTCACTTGAGCTCCCAGAAATTACAGGGCGGGGCGAGGTCATTCTTCACTTTGCACACCTAGCCCTTCTCTGTCTTATTCACTGCTAGGCCTGGCATGATGCCTGGCACAGAGGTGTGCCCAATTGAGATTTGTGCATTAACCTCATGAATGAGCGAATGGCCCATCTGGCAGGAAGTACAGAGAGAGCTCCGTGAGATGACTGGCAAAGGCACCAGGTGGCGTGGCAGGGGCCGGATGGAAAGCTAGCAGCAGCCCCTCTTCCCGTTAGGCCCTCCCTTCCCTTCTCCAAGGCCCGCCCACCCAAGGAGGGGTTACTTCACTGTCAGGGGTTCCCACAGCTCCTGGCTTGCTTGCATCCCACTTACCTCTTCTCGCTGTCGGTGTCTTCCCGGGGCCTGGTGCTGGTGGGGCTGGCTGGTGGCCAAGTGTCCTTGGGGCAGAGACTGTCCTCTTTGGTATTCTCGGTGTCCCGCCAGGGCCCAGACTAGGCTAGTGCTCCACGACAGGCCAGGGGAGAGGTGAGCGAGACCCTGTGGAACATGAGTCTCTGCGTCTCACAGCTTCCAAGAAAGTGATTTCTCTACATAGGAAAGTCTAGAACTATAAACTATCTTTCAAATAAAAATCCTTTCCCAACTCATTGGAAGTGTCATTTTTATCACGCAACGCCACATTCATGTCATTCAACGCGTATTTCTGGCACACTGGCTATATGCCAAGCACTGCTAGGTGCTGGGGATACTGGTATGGACAAGAGGGACACGATGGCCCAGCCGTCGCCACCCAGACTGATAAACTGCCTCATCTGGTCTTGTCGCCTCTACCCAGGAACCGGCTCAGCGCAAGAGGGTGACTTCGACTTCCTATGATGTCATCTCCAATCCGAGCAACCAGCACTCCTCACTCCCCGGACCCCTGTTCACCAAATTATCCTTCCCTGCTGGAGCCTGCAGACCACAAGAGAGGCAGACAGGAAGCACCCCCACAAACACACACATATGGGATTTCAAGAATTTATGGTTATTTATGGTCAGGGCTTTGAGAGAAGAGAATGCAATCCTGGGAAGAACTGAGGGCAGCTAGTTAATGTCAGGGGTGTGGGGCAAGTCCTCTCTTTGAAGAAAGGACAGCTGTAGTTATGCATTGATGTGTCCGTTTGTTTAGCATTCCTCGCCCCCACCCCCAGGCTAAGCTTTTAGAAGAGCAAGACCACATCTGTGTTATTTGCTGCCTTCCTACCTTCTGGTTTAACCACACGGGATCCTCGAACAGCCCTTCCCCGGCAGCTGGAACAGGTCCGGCTTGCCTTCTGCAGCAGGTGCCGGTGGCGCTCAGTGAGCCAGTCCAGGTCCTGCTCCAGCTTCTTAGCAAGTGTCCTCAGTTCTCTGCTGTCTCTGTCCTTGCCCCATCCTCCAGGTACTTCCAGCTCTGCAGGAGTAAGAAGCCAGCCCCAGCAGCACCCATCACCCGGGCACCATTGGTCATGGCCAGAGTTGTGCCCTCAAAGGCTCTCTGCACCCCTCTAGCCCTCCAGAAAGGGCTGTGTCTTGTGACCACAAAATTCTTGACCATAGTCATGAACCCAGAGTTGGCTTTGGCCATCTGGTAGGCACGAAGGTCCCTGATGCCCTTGATGGCTTTTACACACTTGTCAACACAAAAGCCAGTAGCCCCGATTTCAGACCAATTTATTTCTCCAAAAGCCTCATGTGATGTCGTCAGAGGCCCCAGTCGGCTGGCTTTGTCTCTTGCTGCTGAATCGTTCCTATTTTCTAAAACATTTGTTACTATGTTGGTGATGGCAGCTGCTGCCCCCAACCCTGTCGCAGCTGCTGAGAGCACGAGACTGTCTCCTGCTGTCACAGGTGCTAGGGCCAAACCCAGGATGCTCATGACCCCAGAAACAGCCCCGGAAGAGCTGGCCACCGGGCTGGTCTTGGTCGGCAACTTGTGAGTGGTGTCAACTTGGTCCGCAAGGATGTTAAGTTCTTTGATGTTCTGTTCTAGCTCAAATTTGTGCAAAGGAAAATACGAGAGAAACAGTCTTTCCTCCTCTGACAGACAACCGTCTGGCATGGAATCTTTGTCACACCGCATCAGTTCTTCAAATAGAACACAGGACAGCACATCAGCCTCATCACTGTGGACAGCTGACATCAAATTGTTAATTTTCCAACTCGGCACAGGTTCACCAGTGAGGCTAAAGACATCGAGGTAATCTGAGTACTAAAATGTGTGCAGGAGGCAAAGCCCTGGGAATCGAGGTATAATGTCAAAACCACCTTTGCAGAAATTCTAACAGTGGGGAAATCATGGCAGTGAAAGGGGCCTGACCTAGCCGGCTTCATCTTGCTTCTAACCTCCAAGCTGTTCTTGTTCTTTCTTCTGGGCATAGGCTCAACTAACTTTGGGAGGATCTTAGTTTATAGTTTAACTTTGAAACAAAGATGACAACAGCCCCTTCCCGAAACAAACCCCCTTCTTGCCTAGGGACCAGACTGCCTTTACAGGACTAAAAAATTAGCCATAATATTAGAAATTATAATTTAGGTGTTATTCAACCAGAGGCCACAAGATTCTAAACCTCCCCAGTTGCTCCTCGACATAACATCACTATTAGAAAACCTAACTGAGTGCTTGAGGTATTTTTCAGACCCTGCACTCAGTGGTTCAGCTGTCGCCACCCAGACTGATCAACTGGCTCATCTGGTCTTGTAGCCTCTACCCAGGAACCGGCTCAGTGCAAGACGGTGACTTCGACTTCCTATGATTTCATCTCCAACCCCAGCGATCAGTACTCCTCACTCCCTGGACCCCTACCCACCAAATTATCCTTTTAAAAAAACCAGTCCTGGCCAGGCGTGGTGGCTCATGCCTGTAATCCCAGCATTTTGGGAGGCCCAGGTGAGCGGATCACAGGGTCAGGAGTTCAAAACCAGCCTGGCCAATATGGTAAAACCCCGTCTCTACTAAAAATACAAAAGTTAGCTGGTCATGGTGGTGGGCACCTGTAGTCCCAGCTACTCCGGAGGCTGTGGCAGGAGAATTGCTTGAACCTGGGAAGCAGAGGTTGCAGTGAGCTCGAGATTCGCCGCCACTGCACCCCAGCCTGGGCGACAGAGTGAGACTTCATCTCAAAAAAAAAAAAAAAAAACAACAACAGCAAAACCCACTCCTCAAATCTTTGGAGAAACTGACTTGAGTAATAATAAAACTCCAGTCTCCCATTCATCTGGCTCTGCATGAATTAAACTCTTGATTGCAATTCCCCTGTATTGATAAATCAACTCTATCTGGGCAGAGGGCAAAATGAACCCACTGGGCTGTTACAGTGTGGGTGGCAGACAGACAGACAGACAGAAGGTCCACTCTGGCCTGGAGCCCTGGGTGGGGGTGGCCATGTGTTTTGAGCAGGAGCACAGCTTGAACTACCCCTATGCAGGCCCAGGCTAGTGGCTTACTATTCCATTCATCCACAAACAGCTCTCTTCCAAATGTATGTGGATACCAGCCCAGGCACAGTGGCTTGTGTCTGTAATCCCAGCACTTTGGGACACCAAGGTGGATGGATCACCTGAGGTGAGGAGTTCGAGACCAGCCTGGCCAACATGGTGAAATCCCATCTCTACTAAAAATACAAAAATTAGCCAGGCATGGTAGTGGATGCCTGTAGTCCCAGATACTCAGGAGGCTGAGGCAGGAGAATCGCTTGATCCTAGGAGGCACAGGTTGCACTGAGCCGAGATCGTACCATAGCACTCCAGCCTGGGCAACAACAGTGAAACTCTGTCTCAAAAAAAATAATAATAATAATAAAATAAATGTATGGGGATACTGACGTTATGAATAAAATGTAACTTAAAAGCTTTACTGACTTTTGTCACCAAGTCTTTTCCTAAAAAAGACATATGTACATGTATACATTTATACTTTATACATATATAAGTTGTGACTAATTTGATTAAAAAACAGTACCAAAAGTATACAGAGCAGATGCCTTGATCTTCTTTCTTTCTTTTTCTTTTTTTTTTTTTTTTTAAAAAACATGTTTGCTTGAAAATTGTGGTTGCTTCTGCGCAGGGAACCTGGGACATCCGGAAATAGGATTTAAGGGGAGACTCTTTTTTTTGTTTTTGAGACGGGGTCTTACTGTATTGCCCAGGCTGGCCTCAAACTCCTGGGTTCAAGTGATGCTCCCCAGCAGCTGGGACTACAGGCACATGCAACCACACCTAGTGACACTTACTTTTTACTGTTTGCCCTTTTGTTCCTCTTAGCTTTTGTGTCATATGCATGTATGATCATTTTTAAAAATTGGTAAAAGAGGCCGGGTACGGTGGCTCAAGCCTGTAATCCCAGCACTTTGGGAGGCCGAGATGGGCGGATCACGAGGTCAGGAGATCGAAACCATCCTGGCTAACACATTGAAACCCTGTCTCTATTAAAAAAAATACAAAAAAACTAGCCGGGCGACGTGGCGGGCGCCTGTAGTCCCAGCTACTCGGGAGGCTGAGGCAGGAGAATGTCGTAAACCCGGGAGGTGGAGCTTGCAGTGCGAGCTGGACATCCCGCCACTCGCACTCCAGCCGGGCGACCCTAGACGCCAGACTCCGTCCAAAAAAAAAAAAAAAAAAAAAACTGGTCCAGCACATTATACACCATGAATACTATGCAGCCATAAACAAAGATGATTTGGTCCGTTGTAGGGACATGGATGCAGCCTGAAAACCAATTATCCTTAGCCAAACATCACCAGAACAAAAACCACACCGCATTCCCACCTCATAGTAAGGAACTGAAAACAATGAGACACTTGGACTCAGAAGGGACATCACACACCGGGCCCTACATGGGGAGGGGGAGGGGAGGGATTGCATTGGAGTTATACCCTAGAGTAAATGACGAGTTGATGGGTGCAGCCAACACAACATGGCACAAGAACAATGTAACAAACCTGCATGTTTATGCCACATGTACCCTACAACTTAAAAGGTATAATCAATAATAAATAATTAAAAAAAAAAAAAAAAAAGCAGTCACATTTCCAAAGCAAAAGTTTGGGGATCTCCAAGAAGACAACCACATATCCCCCTTCCACGGGAGAGGGCTCACTGTCATTCAGTTGGACAGTGTTGAATATTTTGAAAACAAAGTAGATTTTTTTTGTTTGTTTTGAGACGGAGTCTCACTCTATTGTCCAGGCTAGAGTGCAGCCGCGTGATCTCGGCTCACTGCAACCTCCACCTCGAGTTCAAGCCATTCTCCTGCCTCAGCCTCCCAAGTAGTCAGGCATGAGGCACCACCATGCTGGGCTAATTTCTGTATTTTTAGTAGAGACAGGGTTTTGCCATGTTGGCTAGGCTGGTCTCGAACTCCTGACCTCAAGTGATCCACCCCTTCTCGGCCTCCCAAAGTTTTGAGATTACAGGTATGAGCCACCGCGCCTGGCCCAAAGTAGACTTCTAACAAAAGTGTGGTCATACTTAGAAATAGTGAGATCTACTCTGGCCACTTGTTAACGGGCAAGTGACTGAAGCTTGTAAATCTTAAGAAAAAATGAGGAAAAGGGAAAAAAGGCACAACTGGGAAAATTCTCTCCACTCAAACTTTTCCTGTAATTTTAAAAAAGAATCACCATTCAGTTTTCCTGTTGAATCATTTTGGCTCAGTATCTGGAACTTCAGGGTCATGCAGGACCTTTGAGAATCACTGTTCTTAAGAACCTTTATCTTATGGAATTTGGGACTCCCAGCGTGGGTATTGCTGGACTATGGACTGTGTGTGTGACTTTCTACAGCACGTAACACGGTCTGACTTGTATGTTCCCTAGGTTGGTTCTGGCCTGTCTCCTAATGGAGCATCTACAACAGACTTGGCTTGGGTTTGATGGATAGTGAGAGAGGGTCTATGGGAAAGGATGCAAGGCTATGGGCAAACTGTACTTGGACCAAGGAACCCCAAGGCCTGAAAGGAACTGTGGACAATGGACTTAGAATCCTCTGCTCCCTAGCCAAGGCCATTAGCAGCCTCAAGTGGACCAGCCCTGGGTCCCTCCCTCCTCCCTCCTGGGGGAAGCAGGAGGGGCCTTCTGACATCCTTCCTCGTCTTCAAGTCACTCTTTTAAGTAAGGACTTCATCGGGGTTTAAAGTGAACATCTCTGTAAACCTAGGATTTCAGTGCCCCCTCTCCAACCTAAGTTTTAGAACTATGAGATGTTAGAGCTGGAAGCCCTTCCAGGTCGCCTGGTACACATGGCAGAGGCATAACCTCCCCGCTATTGTTAGTGAGGGTGTCTAAAGCACAGGAGAATCGCGGTGCCGCATCTAGGCTCTTTGGGAAAGAGTGCTGCTGTGACCTAGTGGGCGCCGTCTAGGCGCAACACAGAAGATAAACAGTCATCTGCCACATTTTTGCCATCAATGAGCCCAGTCCCTCATTTACAGAGGAGCAAACCGGCTCCAAAAAGGAAGGACATTCCCTGATTACAACTGAGTTAGTGGTGGAGTTAGGCTAAGAACCTAGGGCCGGGCGCAGTGGCTCAGCCTGTAATCCCAGCACTTTGGGAGGCCTAGGTGGGCGGATCACTTGAGGTCAGGAGTTCGAGACCAGCCTGACCAACATGGTGAAACCCCGTCGCTACTAAAAATACAAAAATTATCCAGGTGTGGTGGTAGGCACCTGTAATCCCAGCTACTTGGGAGGCTGAGGCAGGAGAATCGCGTGAACCTGGGAGGCAGAGGTTGCAGTGAGCCAAGATCGCGCCATCGCACTCCAGGCTAGGCGACAAGAGGGAAACTCCGTCTCCTGAAGCCTCTAGTCTGCCTCAACCACTGGCTGATTTTCCCCGAGATACAAAAAACCATCCCTCTCCCTTTACCAAAGGAGGAGAGGTGAACATTGTACAAGCACATAGGAAGGGCCCCTGTTAACTCCGGTCCACGCAGCATGCATCGGCCAGTAGCCAAAGTCAAGGACACAGATAAGTAAAATGGTTGTGCCTGTGCCTGAAAAAATCAATGCCTTTTTTGGGAGCTTTCCCAGACTTAACGAGAGCCTTAGGGGGAAATCTTGACAGCAGAGGTGGGAGAGAGAACAGTAGAGGGAGGTTGGGCCAAGGACACTGAGAAGTGAATGACTGTACCTGTGCCTGAAAGCGCAGGCAACCCATTTGCATGACGCATGAAGATTTTATCTTTAGGCGCTTGGCTGCTATAAATTGCGGGAGCATTGCAACCCACTTTAGAGAACCTTATGGACACTTTGGCAAGAGTGAAGTGCAGCCTCTGTTAGGCAGCAGAGTCTGTTGTGAGTCTATTGCTGCAGCCGAGCTCTGTGGGAGAGTCTGAACGCCTAGGCCAAGGCAATAGAAAGGCACGTCCCAGGAGCTTGGATCTCAAGGCAAGACTCAGACACTGTCATGGGTTGGGAAAGGGTGAAGGCAGACCCAGGAAGGAATATTCCTGGATTGGGAGAAAACCAGCAAATTCTGCTTCTAGGATTCCACTGCCCTCTAAGCCATGTGTCTGGGCATCTATCCATATACAATGTACTTACCATTACCAAAAGATTTTTTTTTTTTTTTTTTTTTGATGAAGTCTTGCTCTGTCACCCAGGCTAGAGTGCAGTAGTGGTGCGATCTTGGCTCACTGCAACCTCTGCCTCACGGGTTCAAGCAATTCTCCTGCCTCAGCCCCCCATGTAGCTGGGATTACAGGCATGCTCCACCACACCTAGCTAATTTCTGTATTTTTAGTAGAGACAAGGTTTCACCAGGTTGGCCAGTCTGGTCTTGAACTCCTGACCTCAAGTGATCCGCCCACCTCGGCCTCCCAAAATTCTGGGATTACAAGCATGAGCCACCGTGCCTGCACTTACCAAAGGTTTTACATTTTTTTTAACTAAGATTTTTTTATGCGGATGTGTATGTTTTTCCCCTTTTTTGCATATCTCCAGTTGCACATGAGACAACATGAGCAACGCGTCAGCCAACTTGGTTGGAACCCATTTGTAGTTTCATACTATGAAGGTGGCTACAGATCTGGATATTAACAATCAGATTTTATTCCTTCATTCAAATACTCATTGACGGCTAGGCGTGGTGGCTCACACCTGTAATCCCAGCACATTGGGAGGCCAAGGTAGGTGGAGCATTTGAGGTCATGAGTTCAAGACCAGCCTGGCCAACATGGCAAAACTCCGTCTCTACAAACAATATAAAAATTAGCCAGGCATGGTGGCAGGCATCTGTAATCCCAGCTACTCAGGAGGCTGAGGCAGGAGAATCACTTGAACCAGGGAGGCAGAGGCTGCAGTGAGCTGAGATCGTGCCACTGTACTCCAACCTGGGTGACAGAGAAGAGACTCTGTCTCAAAACAAAACAAAACCAAACCAAACCCAAATACTCATTGAGTGCCGGGTCTGTGCCAGACACCGTTTTAGATGCTGGGATTGTGGCCATAAGCATAACAGTCCGCTCTCTGCCCTTACGGAACTCAGGTTCTGGGGATTCCCCCCGGACCTCACCTCCGTAGATTACCTTTGGAAGCCACATTTCTTCACAACCTTCTCCCAAGCCTGGAGATGGAAGAAGATTAGGGACATTTCTTCTTGAGTCATCTCAGTCCAAAAAGACGTAACAGCGCTCCGGGAAAGTTGGCTGTCTAATTACAATATTGGAGAATTAGAAAAAAAAAAAAAAGTTAGAATACAACAAAAATCTTAATGTCTCAGAAATGTCACATGATTTTTGTCTGATTTTAACTGAACAAACCATGGGAATGCCCAAGGCTGACTAGGATGCAATAAAACTGAAAATCTCTTAGGCTTCTGGTGGCAAAATAGATTAGTAAAGCACTTTTGAAATGTTGACATTATACATTAATGAAATGGGAGTGGGCGGGGAAGTGCTGCGTAGAGAAGGGCATGGTCCCTGGTGAGTGTTCCACCCTCCGGCCTGGGCCCATGGATCTAAGTGAGGACAAGCATTTCTGTTTTCGTTCCCAAATGTTGCATTTTCCAAGACCTCTCTGGCTCGCCATGTCCCCACCTAGCAGGCAGACACACACAAGCAGCTGGACATCGAGAGGAACACACAGGCAGAACACACCGACAGATGCTGACAAGTCATCCACGGCTGGATGACACGGAATTCAGCCAAAGGCAGTTGGAGGAGAACCCGGCCGCTGAGTGGCCCAACTCCAGGGGAAGACCACCTTCCCACTCCATCCCCTTTCTGGCTCCCCATCCATCTGCTGAGAGCTACATTCAATAAAACCTTGCACTCATTCTCCAAGCCCACGTGTGATCCAATTTTTCCAGCATACTAGGGCAAGAACCCTGGAATACAGAAATTAGACCAGAGCTCTGCCTTATCCTTCCAATAAGCTCCCTGGGGCTTCGGGAGCTGCAAACACTGAACCCTAGATGGCACTGCTGTGGGGTCGGAGCCCATGCTCCTCACGACCTGCACATCCGTATGCTGCCCCTAGGGGTTTGAGCTGCAGGGCACCGAAGAAGTGAGCCACAGCCTGTTTTATACCGTGCAAGGGGGATAAGGGAAACTTTTCCCATTCCATTAAGTCACAAAAATCTTCTGAGAATCATCCAATAACACAATGATAGGCACCAAGACAATCGGAGCCATGTTACTGATAACACTGTTAACTCGGGGGCAAGTGAACGATCATTCTGTCCAGTGCCTATCATCTATAATCCTGAGAGAGGCACAGTCTGGTCCCTGCTGAATGACACCTGCCTGATGACAAGGCTCGTGGGCGGGATGGTGGTTGGTTTTGCCCAGGCAGGCAACACGGCAGAGTCCACCTTGTTCAGACACTCTTTCTCACATTGCAGCTTCTTTTGTTGCTCAAAAATCACTTTAAATGTATTTTCAATATAATTTGACAAAAAAATTGTCAAATTTGACAAAAAATATAATTTGACAAAAATCACCGCTAGTTCCATTACTATTGATTTTATTCTCTACTTCCAGTAATTTTTCAAATCCGTATTATTTCTTGCATGGTTTTTATACTTATAATGGTGTGTCCTGTTTTTATTATTATTTTTTTTTTTTTTGAGATGGTCTCACTCTGTCACCCAGGTTGGAATGCAGCGGTGCGATCTCGGCTCACTGCAACCTCCACCTCCTGGGTTCAAGTGATTGTCCTGTCTCAGCCTCCCGAGTCATTGGAATTTTAGGTGTGCACCACCATGCCCAGCTAATTCTTGTATTTGTAGTAGAGATGAGGGTTTCACCACGTTGGCCAGGCTGGTCTCAAACTCCCAACCTCAGGTGATCCATCTGCCTCAGCCTCCCAAAGTGCTGGGATTACAGGCATGAGCCGATGTGGCCAGCCACGTGCCCTGTTTTTAAAATGTAATGTTATACAAGTATTTTCCATCTTGCTATGCAGTTATAATAATGATTATTTTTGATGACTCTATGCTGTTTCCTTAACAGAAGATGTATTGTCCTGTTTATAGAAACACTCCCTTATCATGGCACTTTGGCATCTTTTTTTTTTTTTTTGAGACGGGGTCTTGCTCTGTTGTCCAGGCTGCAGTGCAGTAGCACTATCTCCCGGTTCAAGTAATTCTCCTGCCTCAGCCTCCCAAGTAGCTGGGACTACAGGTGCGCACTACCAACCTGGCTAATTTTTTGTATTTTTAGAAGAGACAGGGTGTCAACATGTTGGCCAGGCTAATCTCAAACTCCTGGCCTCAAGTGATCTGCCTACGTTGGCCTCCCAAAGTGTTGGGATTACAGGCGTGAGCCACCGTGCCCAACCGTGCTTTGGGGTCTTAACACTTTTGTTATCCAGATGAGTTCTCTGATAATGTTGCCACCTTGTCCTGCCTGCTGCCTCTACTGTAACCAGTGATAGAACCAGTGACTGGCCCCTTCCCCCCTGCCACACTGCTTCATGCAGGGGCCTCAGGAGCTGCTTAGGTTTTTAGTTAAACTTTACATTTTTAGTTAAACTTTACAAAGGAAGTTATTTGACGTAGTATTTTCAAACACGAGCAGTTGAGAGGGTCTCAGGATGACTCCCTCATTAAGGCTAAGGATCTGCTGTATCTCCACCCAGCAATAGCATATGGCTTCCCAGGGAGTCACGGCTTCCATTTTCTTTCACATAAGACTTGTTGATTCTTTACATTTGTTGCTAACGTGTATTTCTTTGATGTTGTACATTGTTTTGATGCAATTACCAATAGTGGTCTTTTAATGTAATGTTTTCTAACTTGTCTTGTTACTTATAGAAATGTTACTCATTTTTAATACTCTCGTGCTTGACTACATGTTTATTACTGTAGTAGTTATTGAATGAATAATTCATGAATGAATAATGCTGGACTTTTATTTCTGTTTTTAGTATTTTGTTTTCTTATGTTGGTTTCATGCCTTATTGGGTTTCCTTGGATCCTTATTTTATATTATGATATTGACTCTAGTATTTCACAGTTGGCAGTTGGTTTTCATCATGATAAGGCAGTGTGTTTTATTCCTATACTTAGACATTTTTATTAGGACTAAGTGTGGAATTTTCAAACTCCAATGAGATGATTATTCTTTTCCTTTTTTGTTTATCCCATGAATGTGGTGCATTCTTAGCATAGATTTCCATATACTGAATTACCCATACATTCCATGAAAACCCCCAACTTGGTCAGTGCATATTTTTGAATCAGAATGTTATAGATTTTTTTTTTTTTTTTTTTTTTTTTTGAGATGGAGTCTGGCTCTGTCGCCCAGGCTGGAGTGCAGTGGCCAGATCTCAGCTCACTGCAAGCTCCGCCTCCCGGGGTTTACGCCATTCTCCTGCCTCAGCCTCCGGAGTAGCTGGGACTACAGGCACCCGCCACCACGCCCGGCTAGTTTTTTGTATTTTTAGTAGAGATGGGATTTTCCTATATTCATCATAGAGAAATACATGATATTGAGCCATAGTTTTCTTGTGATCACAGTTTATCATCAGTGTTATATTTGCTTCACAGAATGTATTCAATAGCGTATTTTTTCTATTTCTGGGACAATTTGTACAACATGAGAATTACTTGTTTTCTGAAAGCTTAAGAGAACTTACCAGGTAACACCTTGGAACCAGAAACTTGCAAATTTCCTCATTTGCCACATGGGATGCTTTAGATTTTTTTTAAATTTAAGCTTA